GTATAATAATATACCGAAAATGAAAATCTATAAAAAAATTTTAAAGTTATTTTTGTTTTTTTTTTTTTTTTATTAAAGAAAGTAAAATTTTTTAAAAAAACTTAAACTCACCCGCATTGTTTTATGGCAGACGACATTTATTTCGGACATGTTACTGTTGTAACCGAAATTACGATACTGTATAATAATTTAAAAAATTCGATCTATTAAAAGAAATAAACGTACTTGAATTTGTTTACTTTTGATCAAATAATCGAAAACTTGTTAATTAATAATACGTGACGTAAAATTATTAACGAATATTATTACTATTACGTAATTTTTTTGTCGTTAAAAAACCTTTTTTTATACCTTGTTATTACGTGGAAGACATTTTGTGCGTATGACAAAATAATCGTTTTGATTATTTATTCTTGTTAATTAATAATTAAAAAATTAAAAAAATGTCCTTTGTTTTATCTTAAGGGTTAAAAAAAAATATATTTTTATGTTAAATTAAGCCAAAACTTTATTATTAAAAGTTATTTTTTTTTACTTGATTAACCGCCATTGATTTCCTCTTTTTTTTTGGAGGGAAAATTAAAAAGCAGACGATTTTTATTTCTATTTGATACTCTGTGCGACATTTTTAAACCGATGTTTATTTTATAAAATTAAATATGGGTGTTGATTTTGAAAGAACGGTTAAAGATTTTTTAACTTTTTATAAAGTTCAATCGCCGAAAATAACATTTTCATTTGATAATACCGTAAGTGCTTTTAATTTATTTAAAATTTAATTTAAAAAAATTTTTTTTTTTCGACCTGGTAGGGTTAGGTTTGAATCAATCTTATTACTTATTTTACTATTTTAATCAGTTCGCTTGAAACGTTATTACTATTTTTTTTTTTTTTAATCCGCAAAAGCAACATAACAATAATTTAAATGTGTTTTATTTTAAGATTTATAACTCGACAATATTTATAAAACAAGATTTTATAACATTGAGTAAAAAGTATTTGAGTGTTAAGTAATAACATACATTTTTAAATTTTATCATCTATTGAATGCATTTTTCTTTGTTTTTCCCCCCCACAGATTCCAGTCATTATATTTGGTAATGAAGTTAAACCTGTTAAAGGATTAAGAAATATAGTCACTAAATTTTCAAATTTTAAATCTGAAAATATAGAAGATCATGCTGTACTCGATGATTGGTTAGAATATATTGAAACACATTCTGTAGATTTTGATGCTCTTTCAGTCCTGAGGGTAAAATTATTATTATTTTTTTTTCCAAACCATGCAAAATACATTTGACATTTTTATCTAATAATTGAGTGTGTGTTTTAGGAAGTTAATGATTATTTGGAAGACAAAGTATATTTTGTAGGGTACAAATATGGACCAATAGATGTTTTAATGTATTATTTATTATACAATATTTATGTAAGTTTATTTTCGACTTTAAATCTAATCTAACATAATTTTAAAATCAATCCACATATACTTTTTTCTCATTTTTTTTTTCTTTTTTTTTTTTTTTTTTTTCCAGTCCACATTCACATACCAAGATAAAGAAAATTACACATATGTATCGAGATGGTTTAATACAATGCAACATTTAGATAATTTTAAATTGGGAAAACCGATTATTCCCTTTACTAGGTGTTGTTTATATACTTAAATAAATAAAATTATAAAATTATTTATGATAAAAATATTTTTTTGTACTTTTTTTTTCCACACTAAGAATTATTAACACTCCATAATTGCCGATTTATTTAATTATATTAGAAATTCTTTACTGTCAATAAGAACATTTCTTCCATAGTTTTAATAATAATAATGATTTGTAAAGTTATACAAACTCACAAAATAAAATTTTATTAGTAATCGGCAACCATTTTTTGGAACTTTTTCACAATTGTTAAAAGATTTTGTGTTATAAACCAATCATGTAGATGAAAAATTAATAATGATAATAGAGGAAAGTTTTATTAATTATATATGTATACATTAAATTTGTATAATGGAAAACGAATGAAGTAATGCAGAAGTAACATGTATTATCATAAGTAATATTTCCCTTTAAAAATATTTTCTTATCAAAAACTTTTTTGAAACAAAGAAAAAGAAAAAAACCATAAAAAAAAAAAAAAAAAAAAAAGAAGAAAAATGTAACCATTATTTAAAAATCCATAATTTATTAATTAATAATTTTTTTTTTTTTTTTTCATAAAAAATTAACTTAATAATAATAATAATAATTACTGTTAATAATTACAATGTTGATAATTTATTAATGAGTCGTTTAGAATCGTTTAAAAAAATAAATAAATATATATCAAATTTTCACACCGGGGTTTTAAAACATAAATTTTTATTATTATTATTATTATTATTATTATTATTTACAAAGGCCATTCGGTAATTAAAAAAGTAATAAAAAAAATATTTATATACAAATAAAACGTAAAAAAAAAATTAAGCGTTAAGTTATTAAAAAAAAAAAAAAAAGTTTTACTATTTTATACGCCCTTGAGTTTTTTTTTAAAAAAAAGAAATTAATGAAAAATTTGTCCGAAAAAAAAGGGGGACTGGAATGATTAATTTCCATAGAGTAAATAAATATTATTTACTAGATAAAGAGAAATTTATTTTATTTTATTTTATTTTTTTCGTTTGTCGTTTCAAAGATATTTTTCCAAGGTGGGTTTTATTATTATTATTGACCCCGAGGTTAAAATCGGTACTTTTAGGTATTAAAAGAAAAAATAATAATAATAATAATAATAATAATAATAAATCCTTTGATTATCCAGATATCTTAATTTCATTCCAGGTATATAAAAATACACTTTTGATTTAAAATCATTAAATGATTTGAATTGTATAAAGGATTGTAATTAATTTTTTTAAAAAAAAATTTGATTAGACTAATTAATAATAATGTTTTTTACGTAATTTTTTGTTTGTTGTTGTTAATAATAATAATAATAATAATAACTTTCCAATTTTATTTTTTTTACGTTTTAAATAATAACTTATTCATCATAATTACTTAAAAGTAATAATTTATATATATAACACGTTTCACTTACCACCACCGGCGTTAATTATCATATCAATGTTATTATTATCATTTTTATATACTTTTACAATAACAAAACATTTCCAACTTTTTATTTATTTATTTATTTATTTAAATTTTATTTTATGACGTCATTTTGATCAAATTTACGTTGTCGAAATCCATTTCCTCCTTTTTATTTTGTTTATTTATTAGGAACTTGAGAAATAATAATTCACGCGTGTAAAAATGTCTTCCATATCCGTTATACTGTTTCCGGTGTTTTTATTTTCTTATCAACGGATTCGGTGTTATCATAATTAATAATTAATAAAACCTTGAAATGCGTGTCTGTAGATTTTTTTATTAAATTTCCCAACGTTAGAATATTTAAAATTAAAATTAAATTAACTAATTCGTTAGTTATTATTATTAAAAATTTTATGCTTATTGAAAAATTTAATAAAAGTTTTATTTTATCATCATCATCATTATTTATTTATTTATTTATTAAATCATTGTCGTTTTTTTATTTATGTAAAACATTTTAAATAATTATCATTATCGTTCGAAAGGTTTATAAAAGGGAGACAACAACAAAAAGAAAAAACCGTCACGATTTCATTGTTATAAATTTAAGGTTAAATTTATTATTATTAAAATGATGATGATGACGTCAAACCAAGGTTTTACTATGGGTTTTAAATTGTTATAAATAAATAAAAGTTTTGCCTTTTATTATTATTATTATTATTTTAAAAAATCATTTTTTTTAATTTCTATATTTAAAAAAAAAAAAAAATATTACGGTAAATAATTATTAATATTATTTTAAGGTTGAATAACGTGTTGACGGTCGGCCATATTGAAATTTTCTTTTTTTACACTCGAAAATTTGCCTTGAAAATTTTTTTTTTTCCCAAAGTAGTTAATAAACGATTAGAAGTTATTGAAAAGGAAAAAAAAAAGATTTTTTAGTTTTAAACTAATTAAGTTTTCTCATTAACACTATGAAAAGGTAAAAAAAAAAAAAAGTTATGATTGAATGTTTGTGATGACGTTCTCTCTCTCTCTCTCTCTCTCTTTCTCTCTCTTAATAATCTGGTAATACCGTTTTTGGTATTTTTAATATTGGTTAGTTAATTTTATTAAGTAATAATGTAAAAGTTTTCGGCCGTTGTGTCTAATTACACGTTTAAATCTTATTATTTTATTGGTTAATTTCTTCGCAAGATTTTTTTCACTGAGATTTACGTGGAAAATTTTTTTTTTTAAATATTTTTTTTTTTAGCAGAAGACAAAAAATAAATTTTACGATCGAATTGTAAATAAATAATAATAATATTAATAAAGGTAATAATGATGATTAATTAATGATAATAACGATGTAATTATTTAAAAATAATTTTTTTTTTCCTCCTCAATTTTAAAAAGCACGTGGCATTAGATTAAAAATAATTTGTCGAACCTTTTGGATTTTTTTTTTTAAGAAATTTAAAAAAGAATTTGAAAAAGTTGAAAAGAATGAAAAATTTTTTCAAAGGAAATTTTTTAATTTAAGAGAAGAAGAAGAAGAAGAAGAAGAAAAAAATTTCAAAAGTAATTCAAAACCTTATTATCATTATTATTTCATTTTTTTTGTGTGTGTGATAAGTTTTTTTTGATAAGAAAAGAAGAGAAATTGAAAACCTGATATAAAATCTTAAAATTTTTTTTTTGTAGTCAGTTGAAAATTTATGATTTTGGAATGTCTTTCTTATTAAATAAAATAAAAAATTTCTTTTCTTTCTTTTCTTTTCCATCATTGGACCGTGTGCCGCCGCCATTTAAAAAAAAAAAAAAAACTTAAAACTAATTAAAATAATTTTTAAAAAATTTAGTTGTTTTTTAGTACGGAACGTTTGATCTTGATTTTCACGTGTTTCCGTTAGCATTGTTACCAATTTTTTTTTTTTTTTGGTTTGCATTTCCGGCTAAAACCACGACAAACTCGATCGTGTTTGTTTTTTTTCCCCATAAAAATTTTTAACGAAATTATAATGAAAAATAAGCGAACTGGAACTCCGGAAAAAATTTTTGGTTTTCGACGACGGCTAAAGATTTACGATTTTTATATTCTCCAGTTTAGTTTTTTGGAAATCCATCATCATCTTCCAGCCACGATCGTATAAATAAAAAAATTTATAATAACCAGATTTGCTTCTTTTTTTTTTTTGTGATCCCCAATCGCGAGTTTCCATCGGTCTCTCATCAAGGCGTTCTTTTTAATTCGAATTTCAAGTTTTGAAATCGGGGATTCCCCTCAATTTAAATTTTTTTTTATGTTAAAACGTTGAGCCTGATGTTGGCTATTGGCACGTGCACAAACAAAATCACTCCTCCACGTGTTACTTATTTAATTTTTTATTACTTTTTTTTTTCAAGGTCACATTTCATTTGTTTTTTTTTTTTTTTTTCGAATACGAAAACTTCCCATTTTGAAAATCGTTTCTGTTTATGGGCGTTTGTTTTTTTTTTTTTTTTTAAATTATAATATTTAGTCGACGTAATTAGGGATTTCTTCCTGAGGGAATTCGTCAGGAATATCGTGTAAATATTTTGAGTTTTTTTACATTGCGAGTTTCTTCTCTTTTTACTTTAACGTATCTCCTCTCATTCTTTTCGTTTTTTTTTTTTTTTTTTAAAAAAGGGATTTTGAACTTTAACCTTACGAGAACGATCGTGAGGAATCCCAATGAGGAAAAATCAAAATGGCGGCGGTAGTATCGCCAGTGAAAAACATTGTAAAATTTTCTTGTTTTAAATTATCATTTTTTTATTTATTTTTTCCCATGATTAATTTTTTGAAAAATAAAAAAAAAGGAATTCACCGGCCCCTTCTCCTTCCCCCTCCCCTCCCCTCACCTTCCTCCCCCCACAAAAAATTAATTTCCCACGTGTTTTTTTATTAATAATATTTATATATTAAATTATACGAGAGAAAGTATAATAAGTTTTTCTCATTATTCGATCTTTTTTTAAAATCTTTTTTTTTTTTTTTTGTTATGAAAAGTAAAAAAAAAAAAAAAAAGAGACACACGTGTCTTGAATTGAGTTAAAAAAATAAAACGTGTCACCAACACAAAATTTTTTTCATTTCATAATCGTAATAAATATTCAAAGTAATTAACGATATTGTCGAGTTAATAAATATCCGTTTTTGTTTTTTTTTTTCTACTGAACATAAAATTAATTTTTTCGATAAATAAAATATAAATAAAAATTAATTTAATACACGTGTAAATAAGGAAGGATTTTAAAATTTAAATTTTGCGACGTGGTACTAGAAAAACGCTTGGATTTATTGAGTAAAAAAAAAAAAAGAAAAAAAAATTTTTTTCGTATTTATTTATTACCGTCATTTATTTTTATTTTGTAATTGATTTATTTTTGGGGGGACTGGGGGGAAAGGGAAAAGGGGAAAGGGAGGTAACTAATTTTTTAAAAATTTAAAAAAGAAAAAAATTTGTGTAATATTTGTCGTTAGCAAACCCATGATGAACGTTTTTAAAAAAAAAAAAAAAAAAACTAAAAAGAAAATGACGTAAATTGTGTTAAAAATTTAAAAAAAAAAA